TTGTCACAGACCCTCGTTTGTTGTCCTCTTCTCCCTCTCTGCCTAGAGTTTACTGGGCAGCCCTGTTTGACGATATATATATTGTCACATAACTACAAACTAAAAGAGCGTACTTTGCGGAACAAAGAATAAAAGCAAAAAACGGGCACAGTGATAACATGCAAAAATAAAAATAAAAAGAAAAAGAAAAAACAAGGGCAGATTGAAACCATTAAATTTCTCATTCTTCTTTGAACTCCACTGTGCCTCTCACGTGCAAGGCTCGCCACGTTGATGAAGTTGAGCGCGAGCTGCCCCCATCCCCGTATGCCATAACAGCCCACTTGCACGCTGTGAGAGGGGCATCATCAAATAAGTATTAAGTATTAATTTTATTTAAAATATTTTTAAATTGCGAGGCACAAGGCCTCAATAAGCCCTACCGGGCCCCTATTTGCAACAGGTCGGCTGCCCTAAGTGAAGGCAGGCTCGACAGATGACAAGAGGCCTATTTTGGACTACTTCGCAACTGGGGTAAGATTCAGGCAGTTGCGCAGCGCCAGTTGGTTGAAGGTGCCCAGGCCCTGGCCTCCGTTATCAAATGTATCTAAGTCAGGCCCTGGGTGAGATACGGAGCATGGACCCAACTCAGGCTGCAGGCAGTTGGGCACGGGTAACTGTCGGTGGCCCTGGGCCTGATTCGTTTGGACTGACGCTCAATCTCCCTGGGCCTACCGGAAGCTTCTGGGCAGGGACCCATCGCAGCCAGGCTGCCAGACAGGCCACTTCCATTTAGGAAAGGCCCTGCCCACACATTGGACATTCGGGCACTGGCTGCATGCTGCGCAAGCGCTACGGCGCTAACTCTGGCCAGCGCTCATGCGCTCACGGGCGAGCTGGAAGGAGCAGGCAGCCATAGCCGAGCTGCGCTGCATGGTGGTTCTTGGGTGCATGTGGCATCTGTGAGTTGGGGAACGAGGTCGTGAGTGCTACGAGAGACATACCTGGTGCCTGAAGCGTACGGCATTGGCCGAGATCTGCTCGTACTTCGGGGATCTGTTGACGTCATCGGCAGCATTGTAGATTAGGCTAGATAGGATCTGCCATCTGTAGTCTGGGCGCCGAGCGCCAGATAGGATATCGACATTGGTTCGTCGTTGATGATGATGATGAGACCATTCCAACATTGTCAATTATGAGCTTTTGCTGTGTTCTTATTTGGTGGAACTCGTGATGCAATTCTGCTATTGGTTCGAGGTCACGACTATCTGGTCTCATGTGTATGAAGCAATTTGATTTGTGAAGTTCGCTATCGCTCATTTTCCTTGCAATTTGGTATTGGAGCTGTGGTACGGTGCTCTGATTTGGCGCTTGTCTTCTGCCTTTGCGGTACATGCACGCGGTCTGCTGGGCGAGTGACCGTGGGAGGTGTGTAGTGAGGAGGGTGGACACAAGTGTGGCGACCCAGGAGGTGAGGGGTATCGCCAGGAAGGCTACTAAGCGGTGATTAATGGGTGTTCGCAGTGTGATGAGAACTATCCGATGTGTGATTGATGCTGAGGTGGAACGGTGGTGCAATGCTGGTTGTGTCGAAGCAGCGATTGGTCATCACAATCAACATCGGGTCATTTGGTGAGAATATCTGTGGTTGGGGGCAGCTATTTTGAGCTATGTTGCACCTAACCTTATCTCCCCTCTTCGACACTTCTTACCCTGAGGATGTGTGTTCTCTCTTGAGAGTCCTCTCATGTGAGGAGTCGTGTGCACTCAACCTTGAGAGTCGTTAGCCTTCACGTGGAAGGAGAGGGCGGTGCTATATGAAGGGCCTTGGACGAAGCATTGGGTCAGGGTCACCATGCCAACCCACCGGGAGTAGAGCACACATGCTTTGCTGCTTTGTCCTTGGTCTGCTCGCTGCGCTGTAGAGGGGTACTGAAGGGCAGGCCAGCCCTATGGGAAAGATGAGACCGGACGTCTATAAATAACTACCGGCGGGGACCTTCCATTGGCTGTGATCGTCGCCCTGTTTGCGACGTTAAATAATTTCTGAGGACGGCGGCCGTCCATAAAAACGCCTCCTGATCAGCCAATCGGTCGGTGTAAGGCTCGCTGCACGCGAGGATAAAGACAGTGCAGGGCTGGCCAGCTCAGCAAGACTCGGGGCGCAGGGGTGGGCCGTGTGCACACCTTTAGACACGCACGCTGTCCGGATCGCTCAGGGAGGCTGCCNGGGCCGTGTGCACACCTTTAGACACGCACGCTGTCCGGATCGCTCAGGGAGGCTGCCGACAAGAGACACTCATGAAGAACTGAGGGAGGGGTAGATTCCAGGTGATACGTTTGGGGCCGTGTGCACACCTTTAGACACGCACGCTGTCCGGATCGC